CGAACGGGATAAAGACACGAATCAAATAAGGAAGCTTCATCAGCGAGGACTCTGCATAAGGAAAATTAGAGTGTATGTATTTTAATTTTTTTTTATTTAGATATTATTGTTAGGTAAGTTATGTACGTAGCTCATCAGGATCATTACTGCAGGGTATAAATATGTACCCCCTGCTCCTTGTAAAGACATCCAATCAATCAATACAAGTTACTTTTTTTTTAGCTCCGTGCCAACTCTTAGGAGTAGGGTAGAGTAGATTCCGGTAAGTTCTTCAACAAGCAGGGTTGCATCGGTCCGACCGACCTCCGAGCTTGTCTGTAAGTACCGTCATGGCTTATACTTTGGTTTGTATGGCTGCATTGGTTAAGTTCGACCTCCACTGCGAGCTCTAGTATAAGCTAGTTATCAATTTTTATCTAGTTCAAGTATGGATGCATCGGTTAAGTTCGACCTACACTGCTCGAATTAGATTAAGTTATCGGCTCTACCTAAGGGTGGTGTCCTTCGGGTAGATTCATTAAGTTACCGATCTTGCTGATGTTCTTACTGTTATTAGTTTTCAACAACATCAACCTGTCCGATCGAGATCGATCTGGATCGGCCTCACATCCTTTTAATTCCTCGTTTATCTGGTTACATTGCAATGGTTCTTACTTTAAACGACGGGTTACGTTTTATCGGCCGTTCTACTTCGATCTTGATCGTGCATAGTACGTGGTCAAGGCATGTATGATCTTAAAAGGTTTACTAGCTAGTTGAATCTGGTCTATAGCTCGCTATCACGGCTACATCGATCCGGTCGACCTCCACTGTTAGTACTCTAGATCGGAGGATGCTAGCTGATAGGTTTGCTTTCGACCATGCATGACCCTAGCTGTTTGCTATGCCTGCATCGGCTAAATAGCCGATCGCCCGCACTTTAACGTTCATAGTGTGTTTTCATGATCCTATTAAATATGAGTAGATATGTTTTCTTTAAAGATTGAATCTGTTATCTTTATTATGGCTGCATCGATCCGGTCGAACCCCACTGTTAAGGGTGATATGTTAGATTTGAGGAGTTGATAGATCTGCTTGTGTTGAATAGTCGATTGTTCACATGTTAAGATTCTTTTTCTACCTGGATCGGCTCTTTTAGCCGATTCGTCTGCGCTTTCACAGTATGGTTGATTCTATGAATTCTTTGGATTTAGTTTGTTGTTATCATCATAGCTGCATCGATCCGGTCGAACATCACTGTTGATGGTAATGGATTAGGTCTAGATGGTTCGTGGGTCTGTCTGTATCAAACAGTCGATTATGTGCGTGGCATATCCCTTTTTCTTACTAAATTCATTGTCTCTATATTACGTATTGATCGAATCTGATTTAGCCAGTGATGTATCTCTGACACATACATGTTAATAGCTCAAGGGAAAGAATCATTAAAATCGGATACATCGCAATTGTCATTATAAAATCAATCACAACCCGCGAGTGTTACAGTTCTTAACAGTCGATTTTCTTCTCGTATCGGTTATTTGATCGATTTTCCCGTCTGATTGTTAGCCCACTGGATCACCGAGCACTCATCAGCGTTGCCGACCACGACTGACGCTGTCCGACCACACACTATGACTAGAGGTAGAATAACGATAGTTCGCGGTCGGCATCACTAGCGCGTGCTCGGCAACATTAGTGAGTGGTCGGATATCTCCGTGATCCAGTGGGCTAACATTGGCTGCTCCCGAAGCGTCACACTTGGAACTGTCTGGGCAAAAACCGACATGTTGCACCTTAAATTACTGATAAACTTTCTCTCCTTATCAATTGCAGGTCAAATTGACTGGCACGCCCTCGGAAGGAATTCGCAGGATCGGCTAACCCTGCGTTGAAGCCAGACGGATCTCTAGCTTTGCTCCGTCAAGCAGATCCTTCCGGCTTGCTGTGTGCTCGGCGCATCGATACGTGTTTTTGCGTCGACACATACTCATGGATATATGCACCACATGTAGTTCCCCTGAACAGACCGGAATAGGACGTGATTCCTCAATGACAATTATTCTATTCTATTCTGTTCTGTTCTGTTCTGTTCTGTTCTATCTTCTGCTGGTGCAATGCACCCAGAAACAGCACTGTTCCTTTTGTCAAGCAGTAGTAACCACATATCTACTCACAAAGCTACATGATCACTCATTAGTCACGTTCCACTTGGTGGTGATACTGCCAGTTTGGATCTGGTTACTATAGTTTTATCTTTTCCTTTTTTCTTGTGAGAACAAAATACTATGGTTAACAGTTAACACTGTTGAAAATTGAGCACTAACAAATTTTGTTTAAGCTTTACTATGAGAGAGGCTATAGTTGACTCAAAGGTTATAATATTTTCACAGCCCATATGCATGCTGTAACTTTTAGCATTTTCCTACTGTCACCCATGGATTATGGTGGTCCATCTCACAACTTCAAACTCCCCAGTTAAACAACATTCCTTTGCTTTGTTCTATCTGAGGTTGATCAAAGGGATAAATTCTGCACTATGCTGATGGCAACATTGACTTTCATTTCTTACCTTCCACCTTTCCAAAACTTTTCAGAAGTCCTAAAATTAAAACTGAATGGAAGAACAACGTGGACATTAAAAGAACTGCAAACACAAATGGGCAAGTAATATACATGTATATATAAGTAACAGGATGAAAAACTACATATAAGTAACAGTATGAAATATAAAGTGGACAAGGAGATGCAACCTCAGATTTTCTGGAGAGATCAAGCCATGCAATAAGGAGCATGCATAATTCTCCCATTTACTTCCAAAGGCATAATTCTTCAGATAATGGCGGCTACACATTCCCTCTTGCATTTTGGAAGTTGACTTCTGTTGAGCCTTGATGTGGACTTCTTACAGTGACTATTCTTTACCTTTTAAAATTATTCAGTGATCTGGCCTTAGTGGGAGCTGAATATGGAAACTGTACCTAACTGCATATGCAATCAGAAACTTGCTTGCAAAGGAGCCACAGCTACAAGTATTCCCTCTGGAAGGTGTACATAATTGTGTTATCCTGCTGACATATAGATCTTTATTAAGCATGGAGTGAAAACATTTAAAGACCTTATGGTTTTCCTGTTTTTGTATCTTCCCGAACTGTATGCTTTTAGGTTTTGAATAACGACAAATCTGATATTTTGTACAGGTTGCTTTTTGAGGACCATTTTTTCTGATTTTATAGAAAAAACACTTTTCGCAGGAACATGTGCAATATGGAGGGGAACAATATGCATAGGGACGAATATGCATGCTTCTAGTACCAGGGCATAACACAATGATGCCTATAATTTCTAGTTTGAAAAAAATTAGATCAGGTGGCTTATGAACCTATCTCGTGAAGTAGCTTCATCTAGCACCATGTAAACTGAAACCTCTGATGCTATTGTAGGGACAGAATCACGCATAGCTCACATATTTTGGCTTGAGCTGCCTCCCACACTGCCCATCTCAATCATTAGAAAATGAAAAGGAGAATGGAATATGATTCTTGCTGTATGTAGTGGGTCTGACACACACACAAAAAAAGATCCAGACCTTTTTTTTTGTTTTTTCTACCAGGTTATCATTTTTCCTGGAAAAAATACCAAAGTTTTCATACACATCAGTTTATATCTAACTTTTTGTATTTTTAATCACCTCTTAAAATTTGCATCATTGAGAAAGAATCAATTGCTCTGCATTTGCAAAAGTAATAGGAATATTTGCAAAGGCGAACACCTTTCCTGGCATGCAAGCCTAGAGTAGAAGTCAATTGTAGAAAATACCTCAATAGGGATAAAAATATTGTTGATGTCTTGTCAACTAATATTTCGTCACATTGCCAATTATTTTAAACAAGTTCTAGCTTTGACATAAGGATGGTATTAAATTTGAGAGTTTTTGCAACCTGAAAAAGTGAACCTTTGAAAATATTGAGAGCTGGAAAGAATCATATGGTTTGCATGGATACTTTGTTACAAAACCTTAAGAGTAAATTCAAGAGAGTAATTTTACAGTAATTTTGATTGTAGTAAAAATACTTCATGTTAAGCTCCTAGCCTCTTGGTGTACTTCTGTAAGTACATGTACCATCATGAAGACTGCTAGTGGGCTTGCATTTCTGCCTGATTTGGTTCCCATACCCATGCTGATTCGGTACTGAGGCTTGATAGATATGTCTTGTAATATGACTGTTGTTCCTGATTTCTTTACTGTATCCTGATGGTATATCAATTGCAAGTTGCAGTAGAATATTATTTCATTATTGTTTTCTGTGTGAAAATCTGCCACCAATTGGTTTTCTGTGGGTCTGTGGGCGAGTAATGCTTCCAGTAAAGATTTTTTTGCAGTTTCATTTAACAGAAACTGCTACCACTGACGTCAAAAGAAAAAGTTCATGACTAGAAAATAAGTTGACTCATGCTTATTCCTTGCAAGTTTGTTTTGAGTTTGTCACATAGGGAGTTGAATGGATTTGTTGGCAGAAGTGCGCATTAATAATCCATGCACCATGCAGCAGAGAAATGTTTATTGGCTGCACAATAGAGAAAGGAGAAGAGAACATTTATATATTAGGTTACTTCTCCACTGTCGGAGATGCGTCCTACTAACCTGTGTGCCAAATGCATTTTCATGAAATGACCATGTGCCATTTCCACCATCAATATGTATTTCTGTGTGAAGGATTCTTCACTTAGAGAATTTTTTATAATCTTCTATCCTTTTCCTGACATAAGATTTTCAGAATCCAGATTCTCCTCTATGACAGCACAAGGTGTCACAAACCGCACTGCCATGCAATGCAGATTCAGGGAATCTTTCGACATATATTCCCCTCTCCAGGCTTTCACTATAAATAGAAGCCAACTGGGGTTTTGCACTTCATACAACTCCAAACCTTCAGAGCTTACAAGGAGTCGCAGAGCTCAGAAGCATTGGTATCAGCACACAGTGCACCTTCTTGAAGAACCGCAGAGGAGATCACACAATGAGCTATTACGGCAGCAGCACTTCTGGTAAACTGTCTGTTCCATTTCTCCATTAGCCTAATCCTCTGATCTTCCATTTATGCCCACACATTATCCTGCATGGTTGATCGATTATTCAGGTGGACGAAGCAGTAGGAGAGTCGACTACGGGAGGACATATGTGGTGAGGCCAAAGGGAAGGCACCTAGCCACCATTGTGTGGCTCCATGGCCTAGGTGACAATGGTGCTAGGTACCCGCTTATTGCTAGGCTCATACCTACTTCTATTTTTCTTAAATTTTGGTTGTTCATATGATGATCTTCCATGCATGCTATCTCATGCAACTGCCACCTGAATGGAAACTACACTTGTCAATCAAGAGAGAGAACTAGATTGTTGCAGTGTTGATCTAAAACACTTTATTCTCTTCCATCCTTTTGCTAGAAATGATTCAAGTGGCCTCCTTTTTTGTCTGTCCGTGCATGCATATATTCCTAGTATTGCTTTGCTCAAAGTACATGTTTCTCATACCTGTTGCACACCTAACAACCTTCTTTGCCACGAAGGACGCTGATATTGCTTTCCCACTTTCCATTCAGAAAGGATAGGAATGTCTAATATTTTTTGATACGTTAAAAAAAAATTACGTTCTAATACTTTTTGATGCGGGCTAATAATACATAAAGTTGGCTAATTGCGTATGTATGTTGCATAGTTATAAGTATAGGCAAAATCCTCAATTTACAGTTCCCTGTCTGCACAAACTATGTAAAGTAAAGAACACCGTATTTTATAACAAGGTAGCAAAAAAAAAAAAAGACTCAACCAGGGGGAGAGACGTCCTCCTGATTTTGCCCTTGAGAAGTTTGTGCCAGCCTTTGAACCTGGACTGGTGACAGGGGTTTCTTGGCCCCCTGACTTCAACTGTCTAACCAGTGTAGCTCAGGAGAAGTTGGCTTATAACAAGGTAGTAAGGGCCTAAAATTAAAGTATCTTGTTCTTGTGATCCACTATCAGACTTTTTAACAGTTACGAGTTTTGGAGAAAAATCAACTGATAGTAAGGCTGAAGATTACTTTTAGGAGTCCTTTTCGAGTTTGTGTATTTGTCCAGGTTAGCTTCAGATGTTCTTTACCCACTTACTATTAGTTTTCTGGTACCACAATGAAAAAAAGGCAAACATCAACATCTGGGCTGCTTGCACGCAGCATTATTATTGTTTAGTCTCTCCAGATAATCTAGGAAATGAATGCTGCCTCCTCAACTAGCTGTGAAAAATTGGTTCAGTACTGAGTTATTCCTCTTTAACTGTTTTGTGTGTCAATCTTTAGTTCCAAATGTTCTTTTCTCCAAGCTGCACATCTTTTGTGTTGCCGGTACTTCATATAACATTTGATGCTTTATATAATGTGTTGCGATCTACAAAATTTGAGATGACCTGGAATGGAATATCTTTACCAGTTGCTGCTGCCATGCTTTTCTTGACATAGTGAACTGATTGATTTCCTTTTCCTTCTTTTAACCATTCTGCATTTTTTCCAGCTGGTCCCAGCTCCTGGATTCTCTTCCTCTACCAAATGTAAGCATTGATGCTTTGTACTTGAAGCACGCCTCAATAGATATGGATACACCTTGTCTTATTCCTGAACCATCATACAACAGTTTCAGTATTTGTAAACATCTTCAGAACAGTGTAGCTTATTTTGCTCAGTTGTTTGGGCATATAAGGCAGCTATTCTTACTGCAACGGAGCTTATTTATGTTGAAGCTCGTGTTCATGTAGATCAAGTGGATATGCCCCACCGCTGCAAGCCGGCCTGTCGCGGCTTTTGGTGGATTCCCTTGCACTGCATGTGAGTTCCTTTCATGGAAGCTGAAGTTACATAATCCAACTAACAGTATTACCGTTTCTCTGAACTCTGAAGCCTGGACAACATTTGATCACTATTTTTGGGAACTGAAACAGGGTTTGACGTTGAGGACACATCTATAGATGGCCGTGATGACATTGAGGGACTGGATGCTTCAGCTGCACACATTGCAAATCTGCTGTCGTCTGAGCCGTCTGATGGTACTAATAGCTAATCCCAAGATCATGCCATCCCATACTTGCTAAGTGCTAAGCCTCATGATATTAATTTTGTTGTTGATAGGAATGTATACGTTAGTTGATAAGCTAACTATAAGTCCGTATCTCATAAGAATGTTCATCAGTACGTGTGCACATTTATGATTTTAGATACACAGTTCATACAGAGTTGCTCTCTTTTATTCATTCCATTGACGTTCGCCACATGTGAGCAGTGAAGCTTGGGATTGGTGGTTTCAGCATGGGTGCCGCTGTTGCCCTGCACTCAGCAGCATGCTATGCTCATGGCAAATTCTCAAGTGGCATTCCCTATCCAATCACACTCAACGCAGTCATCAGTTTGAGTGGCTGGCTCCCTTGCTCAAGGTCTAACTTTGACATCCTCTCCATAGATCATCTGTGTCATAAAACTTGCTAAGCTATTAATATTTTTCATGAATCCTAATGCTAACTCATGATATTAATTTGCAGGACCCTGAGGAGCAAGATGGAGAGTTCACATATTGCTGTAAGAAGGGCTGCATCCATGCCCATCCTCCTTGGTCATGGAAGAGGTGACGATGATGTTGATTAAAAAACCCCAGAAATTCAGTACATACTACTAGACATTAAGTTTCTTTTTCTCTAAATCTCATGTGTTTTTGTAGTGGATGAAGTTGTCGTCTACAGGAATGGCGAGAGATCAGCTGAAATTTTGAGGAACTCAGGATTCTCATTTCTGACTTTCAAGCCCTACAACGGGTACAGATGCATGCATACGCTACATATGAGAGTTTCAATTTCCTCTCCCTCCAGATTGATTAAATGACTTGTGACGGCGCAGGTTGGGCCATTATACAATCCCTGAAGAAATGGACGATCTCTGCAAGTGGCTCAGCTCATCACTTGGCCTCAGCCGATCTCGCTAAAAGAATAGTTTTTGCGTATGCGCAATGGGTTTGCTAATAGCATATATTTTGAGGGGTGGTTTGGTTTGATAGCTTGTAACACTTCATGCTCTTACTTTCCAGTGCTCTCTTCGCATGTGGCTTTTGTTGCCATCGTCCTAATTTACTGGTATATGTTTTGCCTGCTACTGGCAAGGAGTGACTATATGTAATGCGGTACTTTGTCTGATGTTGTTAATAAAAAGAAAATGCCGTTGAGGCCTCTGATCAATGAAACAACATTTGTACTGTATCCAGGCAGCAAAACTAGCTCGTCACTGCAGAAACAGAAAAGCTGGAGAGGTCTTGACTACATTTGAACATTTGTTACGTTTCAGTTCCATAGTTGTTCAGAAGCTCCTTAACCATATAAGAGATTCAGAAGCAGAACTTTCATAAACAGAAAAGCTCGACCGCTCTGACCTAGCTTCTACAATTAAGAGCGAAGCAAGATGGCAGTGAAGGTACCAGGTGCAACTAAGATTGTATCCAACTATCCATTAATTCATGATTTTGGCATTATCTACACAGGATCGGGTGTGGTTTGTTTGTCAAGGTTTAGATCGAACGTGTTCGGCCACGAATTTTTTTGTAAATAATATTTTTTAATGATTAATTGCAAATTTAGAAGCTGTTATACAAAAATTTGACATCTAGCAGCTTGGCGGCCGCTCAACAGCTGAGAGGAACCCTGTCGGCGTCTCACTAGCCGATAGGACTACCTGTCGGCATCTGGATAGCCGACAGGGCAGTCGGCCCGTGGAAGGCCGACGATAGGCCCACGTGTGACAGGGACTTGTCGGCCTCTGGAGAGCCGACAGGGCCAGTCGGCCCATGGAAGGCCGACATGTCAGCCACGACAAATCTGATATTTTGTACAGGTTGCTTTTTGAGGACCATTTTTTCTGATTTTATAGAAAAAACACTTTTCGCAGGAACATGTGCAATATGGAGGGGAACAATATGCATAGGGACTTATATGCATGCTTCTAGTACCAGGGCATAACACAGTGATGCCTATAATTTCTAGTTTGAAAAAAAGTTAGATCAGGTTGACTTATGAACCTATCTCGTCAAGTAGCTTCATCTAGCACCATGTATACTGAAACCTCTGATGCTATTGTAGGGACAAAATCAGCATAGCTCACATATTTTGGCTTGAGCTGCCTCCCACACTGCCCATCACAATCATTAGAAAATGAAAAGAAGAATGGAATATGATTCTTGCTGTATGTAGTGGGTCTGACACACACACAAAATATCCATACCTTTTTTTTTTTTTTCTACCAGGTTATCATTTTCCTGGAAAAAATACCAAAATTTTCATACACTTCAGTTTACATGTAACTTTTTATATTTTTAATCACCTCCTAAAATTTTGCATCGTTGAGAAAGAATCAATTGCTCTGCCATGCAATGCAGATTTAGGGAATCTTTCGACATATATTCCCCTCTCCAGACTTTCGCTATAAATAGAAGCCAACTGGTGTTTTGCACTTCATACAACTCCAAACCTTCAGAGCTTACAAGGAGTCGCAGAGCTCAGAAGCATTGGTATTCAGCACACGGTGCACCTTCTTGAAGAACCGCAGAGGAGATCACACAATGAGCTATTACGGCAGCAGCTCTTCTGTTAAACTGTCTGTTCCATTTCTCCGTTAGCCTAATCCTCTGATCTACCATTTATGCCCACACATTATCCTGCATGGATGATCGATCATTCAGGTGGACGAAGCAGTAGGAGAGTCGACTACGGGAGGACATATGTGGTGAGGCCAAAGGGAAGGCACCTATAGCCACCATTGTGTGGCTTCATGGCCTAGGTGACAATGGTGCTAGGTACCCGCTTATTGCTAGGCTCATACCTACTTCTATTTTTTCTTAAATTCTGGTTGTTCATATGCTGATCTTCCATGCATGCTATCTCATGCAACTGCCACCTGACTACAAACTACACCTGTCAACCGCTCACTAGCCGATAGGCCTACGTGATGCACAGGGACCTGTCGCCAGCTGGAGGGCCGACAGGGCAAATCAGCCCGTGGGAGGTCAACGGGTCAGTCGGCATTTGATTCGCCGACAGGGAAGTCGGCGGCCCAATTGCCGATACAGCTGTCGGGCACCACGCGGCCAACAAATCTATTTCATGTTGTATTCCTTCTTTTCTAGACACAACCATCAACCGATGTGATACTTTTTTACGAACACAACCATCTCCGGCTAGAATACTTGATGCACAGGCTAAACAATATCATTTTACGTTTTAATTGTCCTTTGCCTCGATGCAGGCGAGTGACTGTATTGGAGCGTTGCCTCCATTGCAAAAGTCCGCACATTAGTTCATTAGTTCGCATCACAAATTCAAGAGTACATTAGTTCGCATGCATACATCCATGCTAGCATACAACCATATAGTCCTACACGCTTAACCTACACGACGACCACGCTTAGGTGCCTGCGCACCTCGGTGACAAACCTGGGCCGTAGGGTAAGTCCACTGGTCTGGAGGGCGTCGCTGTCGTACATGTGGGGTCGACTCCAGAAAGTTGGGAGGGCCCTATCTCCTCGGGGAACCAAGGTGGAGTATCGTCCGTGTGAAAAGGTCCCAAAGCTGCTAGTACCCTCCGTGTAGTCACTGCAAGAAGTACGTGTACCTATACAAAAAAGGCTAGGTTAGATAGAGCATGTTACGTACATAGTACATGGGAAATCAGGAAGGTAATCGTTGAATTACCTAGGACTTGAACCCTCTGCTGCGGCTCGTGCTAGGATGGACGAGAACGTCCTCCTGATCCGTCGACTGGAGGTGGTGGTGGAGGTAGAGGTGGAGGCACACCCTGGTGGGTGTGAACAACTACGTCAGTGGTGTGGCGGCAGATGCCCGGCGTACTCCCACCAAACAACGTTGCCCTAGTCGTCGAAGGGCGGCAACCGACTCCAGCCTACCAACCATTGGGGGTTGTGCTCGAACCGCTAGGCATACCAAAGCAGCTTGTTACCCACATCACTGTAGATATCTGTCTGCAAGCAAGGCATGTATTGTCTCATGTATTGTTATGCTTCATCTGCAAGGTAAGGATATGACAACGTATGTAAGAAATTTGCTTACCAGTGCATGGAAACTAGCTGGTGGCTCCATCGCGAACGTGTCGGTGATCTCGGCCTCGTGTGGCGCGGCCTCTACCGGCACAGGGAAGCAACGGACATGTGTGGCTCCATGGAACCAACGCAAGTACTCTCGGTACGTGGCCTCGTCGAATGGCCCACCAAGGTCGTGCACGTCGATGGCAGCTTGTGCCAAGTCGTTGACCTAATGCACCATCCTATCCACCCATGACTGCTCGAACGCTACACCTTGACCTTTCTTTGAATTCCTGCAATACAATTAATAATGAATAATACTATGACAACATCTAGATGAACGCTTAATGCAACAAGACTTACCCGTGGGACCCGTCAAGCTGAAATCGGGGAAGGGGGAAGACCTACGCACGCCCAAACTGACGTGCCACCCGCTCTGGACGGTATGGCTCGACGAAGATGTCGAACACTAGTCTTTTCCCCGTGCACCATAGCTCCCTGTCATGGTAGCACAACTCCGACAAGCCACGCGGAGCACGGGACTGTATGTCAACTGCTGTGTACAGGGTCCACCAAACCCTGTCAACTATGAGCTGGTCCAACGCAGCGACGTACGCATTGTACGTGCCTCTACCCGTGCTTGTTGCCCACCTCGGCTACAAAGAACAACAAAGTTGATGAAGATTGAAAGCATAATACTAACATGTAAGAAAAAATAGTAGAGACGAGATACTTACGTCACGGGACAACCAGAGTGTGCCCATCGTGGGGGCGTCGAGCTCGTCGGCCTCACCAAGCTGGTCGAAAACGTACATCTCGTCGCCATACGGATCGTACAACGACAAGGTCGGCCTCCCAATATCGAACCGCTCGAACAACCACAACATCAACAACAAAGGCGAACCAGCTAGCGTACCTGTCGAAGTCCTCTGAGTGCAAGCATCACACTGAGCCCGGTACGTAGCTGCCAGCACAGCAGAACCCCAACTGTACTGGGGAATCGCCTCAAGTGGTGCGTACGCTATCTGCGCCGCGTAGTAGACGAAGTGCCTGTTGACGGTGTCGTGGTGAGAACTAGTGAAGAGTACACAGCCAAACAGCCAAAGCAGGTACGCCTCCCAGTGTCGCATCACCCTCCAGTTGTCCTCATCCTCCATGAGCCTCTCCGCACGGAACTGAGACAACCAAGCCTTCGGAGGCTTCAAACCCTAAACCCTAAACCCTAAACACTACAACTAAAACTAATAACTAATCTAAAACTAACCCTAAAACTAGAAAAAAACCCTAATAACTAACCCTACCCTAGAAGAAAAACTAATAACTAAACTAACTAACCCTAAACAGAAAAAATAATAACTAACCCTAAAAGTTAACCTAACCCTAAAACTAAAAGTACTCCTAAAACTAAATCTAGCTAATAAACTAAACTAACAAAATATAACTAAACTAAAAACTAAACTAACAAAACCTAACTAAACTAATAAACTAAACAAACTAAAAAAAGAAAAAAAAAACGTACCTGAGATGCCTCCAGGGGGCCAGCGGCGGCGCTGTGGGGAGCGGCGGCCCGCGCGGGCCAGGGGGCTGACGGCAGCGGCAAGCCCTCCGCCGGATCCGGCGGCCGGCAGCGAGCCCAAGCCGCCCGCGTGGTGGAGGAGAAGCGGCGGGCGACGGCGTGCCGGTGAGCGAGAGAGAAAGAGTGAGCGACAGAGACAACGCGAGGGAGAAGATGACCGGTTTGATATTTTAGGGCCTATCGGTTATCCGAATGCTGACAGGATTCTATCGGCTAACCGGGTGCCGACATGCCTATCGGGCCAATATGGGTCCACTTGGTTGTCATGTCGGCCCACCAGTTACCGACAGGGTCCTATCGGCTAGCCAGAGGCCGACAGTATACT